TGTAGCATACAAATATAATCTGAGCCCATCATAAGCCAGAACCAAAGAGAGGGTCTGTGAGAAGTCCTGCAAGCAAAACTTCCTAGCTGTATACACATTTAGCTATAATACTTCATCATGACTTAGCCAAATTCTGCCTTCAAGATATCTGCCCCTCCCCAGACTCACTGCATAAAATAAGATAAGATTTGGTTCTTTAATTGGGACTTAAATCTTGAAAGAAAATTAGAGAATGGAAATCTTTCTATAACAAGAAAGATTAAATGCTCCACTGCCTGAGAAAATGTATTAATCCAATTGGAAGCAAGAATAAGGTTACAGTTGCTCTTTAATAAATAGCTGTGGATGACTGTTCACTTATGAAAATGTGAAGGTGACAATGAAAATCAGATTTCCATAGTATAACATAGAGATGTTTGCAAACCTCAGGGAACCTTACTGCTGCTAACATCAACAGAAACATGTGACATTCAACCCAGCTGTGTGATATTCATTACTTCTCCAACTGTCCCAAATGTATTGTATAAAAACTCTGATTGCTCTTTCTTCTGCAAAGGAGCTCACTGGGTAGCTTTGGATCTAAGAGCAGCAAATGTGCTTGGAGATGTTCTCATCTTTGTTTCTTTTCTAATTTGTTTTGGAGTGATTTTCTTTCATGCAGTTCACTGTGCCCATGAAGAACTTTGCACATCAGATGTTAACATGTGCTAAGTCAACTATTATACCACAAATGTCTGTGAATCATTCTCAGAAAGAACAATCAATTTCTGAGAACAGTTTTATTTGACTGTTGTTTATTTGTGGGGAGAAAGAGGAGAAAGTTCCTGTGGACTGGCCAGCAGAGATGAAGCAGCCTGTTTGCGTAGTGAACACATGCTAAATATTTCTCTGGTCTTAAAACACAGTATCTAAACTGAACAGATAAAACATTCACATATCATTAAAGGATGAATCTAAAACCCACTGAAATAAACAGGTATAATTCTGTTAATTTCAATGGGCTTTTTATCAGACCTATACTAAGAAATACAATGCAGGAAATGAGTAATGTTTTTATTCTGACAAAGTTACAATAATAAGCAGAGTTAAGACAATGGAGACTTGTTCTGCTGATTTAAAAAAATACATTCCTGGACAAAACCAAACTGGGCTTCAGGTAGAATTTCTTCTTTCGTTTTTGTAAATACTAATTTGGAACAGATTCCAAAGTTTTGGAACTAAAAAGACCAGGACTAGGCATACAGAGAGAACTGTAAATTACATGTTCACTGAAGTGAATTCAGCTTTGGGGTTGTTGTTTCTTTCCCCTGTAACTTTATTTGTTTTTTTGGACTTCAAATGCTTTAAACCATAAGCCAAACTGGATGAGTAATCTCTACACGTTTTAAGTACAACATGTTGTAATAGGGCCCTTTTGGCAATTATTTGACCAGCATCCTGGGTGAGATACACCTTTGGCATTGCTGGTTTAGCTACTATATGGAAAGACTAAATGGCACACATCTAAAGTTACCTCAGTGCCACTTTCTGGGTAGGCGTAGCAAAGGTGATTTTGAGTAAGTCTGGAGTGAACCCAGCAGAATTATAAACAATCAGTCTGTGCAGAGGGTATATTGGGAAAAAAATGGGAAATATACAGATGAGATTTTAAGAAATGAAATGTAGTATGGGTACCTTAGTGCTGGAGGCAGACTCAGGTGAAATGAAGAAGACTGGTTAACGAAAACACCGGCTTGTTTGGAAAATTCAACCAGCCACAGAAAACTACCTATTGCCAAGGTGCCTTATGAAAAACAAACTTCCCAGACAGTCCATATCCTTTTCCTGCAACAGGCCCTACACAATGTTCAGTCCTTTGTTATAGTTTAGTCCTACTCCCCTTTCTGATTTTTACAGCTACTTTTAATATGTACAGCCTGATGTGGAAAATTCCCAGGCTGTACATATTAAAACCCTTGGCTGAGTCCCCATAAATGCTTTCATGTTTTGAATGACTGTAGTACTCAGTTACTTAAATCAAAGAATTTTTTGATCTCTGACGACCCACAGAAAGGACTTCATTTCTTTCTTCATTCATAACTTGAGCTCAAGTATGCAAATACCCAGCTTCATATGCTGCCAGCCAGTGCATTGCCTACTGAGTATGCATAGTAGCCATGCAGTCACTTAGATGTCCATACTATATAGGTAACAGAATTACAAGCAGAATGTAAATGCCAAAAATTACACTTAAATGGCTGTAAAATTGTCATTTGGGTATGCAAAGAGATACAAAATTCTACCTTTTCAGAGAAGACTTTCAAAGTGATCACCCCAAGCATGTCTACTCTGGAACTTAATGCAACCTACTAGTGTGATGTAAATTCATGCCCTACCTTGCTCTGCCCTTCTCCATATAGCTTAGCCCTCAGTCTCTAAGCACAGAATCAATTATGTGACTTCCTGTCTTCCCTTTCCTACTAGTAGAGGGTGAGCAACAATGGTCCTCACTTGGGTTATCTGGAATTATGGGGAAAACCTTGTGTTAAAGCCAAGATTCAAATTTTTTCCCCTGGTCACTACAGATGTAGGTTGGTGGGCTGAATGGCAACATTACATAATTTTTCAATTCATCTGAAATTGTCTTGTCTTTTTATGTTCAGTGGTTATACCACCACATAATTAGAGCAGCTGGCAATCAGCAGTTGGAAATTCTCTCTCTCATACTGAGCCTTTCAGGTTAATCTGGATGGATTTCCATGGCTCAGTAGGTTGATGCACTTCCAGTAAAGGAGTTGCCTCTCCTTGCTGGTACTCTCCTTTCCTGACAGGCAAGACAAGAAAGCCAAGTCAAAGGTCCACCTGAGTCACTGGGGTAGCATGGTTAAAGCATGCCAGTTCTGCTTCAAGAGAACTATCTCCTGGTCATAGTAGGAAAGCCACACTAGAAAGTCTCCTCAGTGCATGCTGGGGTTCCCTTTACTGACACCTCCTGGTATTATTCCTTCTGTTATGTTAAAGGGGCTGCTTAAATGTTCCTGTGCCTGTAAGACTCACAATCCATATTTTGAAGCTGCTACTAAAAGGCTCTGCAATCACCATCCAAACACAGTACTAGGTCCCATGCTGCTCTATCATCAGTCCATCCATTCCCAGGGTGTTACTGTTCAGAGTTTGGCTTAAGGAGCCCCAATTCATATGCATGGCTAGTACATTTCTTCTCAGGCAAAAACAACAGTCATAGGGTCAAAGAGTCTCTAAATAGATGAAGAATCAAGATGCATGTTCAAGGTCAGAATTTAGCTGTAGATTAGTTTCCCATACTTGTGTCTGACTCAGAATTACAACTGTGATTTAAAATGGGATCCTCTTTCTTGACACTGAACATATCTGATAAGCTAAAAAACTTCATAGTTTGCCCCAAAAGATTGTATTCTTCCAGAGTCATAAGTGCCTTGAAAATAAGGAGTTTCAACTAAATGATACAGTTATAATACTATCCTCCACCCATTAATCCTTAGGAATAATGCAAATGTCTTAAGTTCACAAAACATTAAGTTTAAAAAATCCAATACTCAAAACTCAGGAAAATTTCCAAGTATAAGGCCACTGCCAAAATATTTACTTGACATCAAAATATAATCATATACACATAATAGTATATATTACCACTAATTCTTGGCTTTGAAAAAAAATGTGATTATGCCAACACCCCTCAAAAATGCAGCTGTCAAAAGATGACACAGAAGAATTGGAGTGTGCATTATAGTACATTTTTTGTAAGATACACATACCTGCAAGATGCAACTCATGATATCAGATGCAATTTTTGCATGTGGTGTATCCTCATCTTTTCCTGAAGGTTTAAGTTTGTGCTCTAAGCATGATTCCCAGAGAGCCACAAGTGCCTTCCCATGTTTTTCTATGGACTCCGTCTCTCTGATGGCAGTAGTGATTCGGGTGATACAGATTTCTACCACCGCCTGATCATTGTCATTAGTTTGGTAGTCCTAATTGAAAGAAACACATTTTTAAAAAGTAAAATGTCACCATTTTAAGGATTCTGCAACTAGAAGCAGTTTTTCTGTTCACTCAACTTTCAATTTTCTTGCTGTCTTCTTTACAAGTAATGAATAAGCTAATCAGAAACAAAACCTATCATAGGTTATCATAGGTATTGAACAATTTCAAGTTGTAATGGAACACAAATGAATAATTTGTGTTTTTACAGAAAAAGTATGGATTCAATTATTAATGTTATGTAGCCTCCAATTTAAAGTTAAGACATCCAATTAAAATGATGTCAGTGTATACACCTTGAGGTCTCCTGTTCATGGTTTTTCTGTTTATATATTAGTCTAATTTAATTTTTTAGAACATTAACAAAAACAAAACAAAAAACAGTCCACATAGTCACATCTAGCACCTCGTATCATTCACATTATGCAGTTATTTAGATGAGTGATGTCAATGGAGCTAGCCAGTTTATACAAATATAACTAAAAACTTGCCCTACATGATTGCCATAACACTCATCTTGTACTAGTGTAAATGATTACAATAGAGAATCAGACCCAATATATATAGCGACCCTCATACTAGAATACTAATAATACAGCTATGCCAGAGGCCCAGGGGCCAAAAAATGAACCAAAATATTCATCAATAGCTGTGTTATTTTTGTCAGCTAAACATGGATATGTTTAAAGAATTCGCAGTCAATTCTACATTCATTTACAGAAATGTAATTCCAGAAAAACTGTTAAAGCCAATGGAGTTACTGCAGACATACCCCACTGTGAATGAGTGCCTAACATAAAACCTATGCATTTAAGCTTCTTGTGGGGGCATTTGGTATATCTGTCATCCACACCTGACCTGACAGTTGCTTGCTATTAAAAAAAATTTCCTGTATTTATTACAAGTGTGCATTACATTTTATATTAAATTGTGATAAAAAGGTTGATTAATAGAGATACCCAAGCATAAGGTATGTCAGGGTAGCATCTTAGATACTAGCTGATTCAGAAGCAAGCTTTCATAGGCAACATGTACTTTGTTAGATACTAACAAAGCTAACTGGGTATAGATATACTCAGTAATGTTGCCCTGTAAAATATCAAACTCAGTTGAGCAATCAGGAGAGTTTCATACTCGTGTTTATATTTGTCATCACAGGCTGCCAGAATGGTACTATAGAAAAAAGGAATGGCAGAACACTCCTGTCCTCAGCTCCTATGTATATGGCGAAAGAAGCTTCCTAATACATATGGGGAAAACAAATAAACATTGATGGCTTAAATTCTGAATTTAAAAATGGCAAGAAAACCTTATGCTACAGCACCAGTAAAATATTTCACTGATCACTGATGCCCCCTAGTGGGAATTAATTTTAGGGAATTTACAAGTACAAGAAAATCTTTTGTTTCTTAAATTACAGCATGCCTTAGCAGTTTAGTACAAATTATTATTCATGTATAAAAATCATCAGCAAATTCAGTCCTCTTCCCTCAAAGGAATATGATAGAGAGGATTTCTAGGAATATTGATAATATGCAGCTTAGTGGAATGCATCAGCAACAAGTGGAGTCAACAGTCAAATTAACTTGATTAATGTTCTGAAAAAATGTGCAAATGTTATTGCTGGCTAATAAATTACCCAAGAAAAGAAGAGTCTCTGTACAACTGAAGATTTAGAGCACTTGTGACAACGAGCAACAGTGTGATCAAAAGCTCCTCCAGTCAGAGATTTGTACATTGCCAGAATCCATTTTAAAAATCACTTATTATGTGTCCAGAAAAGGGCTATCCCCAGAACATGGACATTATTCTAGCTCAAGATATTAATGACTTAGTTCAACTGCTGGTTTCTCTTCTGTAGTAAGGCAATATTCCAATCAGGGATTTCAGGGTTTTTGCAAAGGCCAGGCTCAAGTCACTCTCTAATACCACAAAACAATGGATGAAAATGACCTATGCATTAACACAAATTATGTTATAATTAGATACAAATTACTGGTCCAATAAGGATGAAATGTAATGGTCTATGATATACAGAAAGACAGCCTAGATGATTTAATGGGCACTTTTAGCTTTAAATCCTATTATTCTATAGTCTAGAACAGGGGGCAGCAACCTACACTGCATTGGCCAGATGCAGCTTGCCAAATCATTGCATCCAGCCTGTGAATCTGGGACGTTGGTAACAATTCTGTTGTGGGGGGAGCAACATAGGAGCATTCCTCTGCCCTTGAACACTTTTTGTGCAGTGCAACTTGCTGCCCCAGCCCTCCCAGTTCTCTCTCATACACTGCCTTAATGAAGTCACTGCTTCTCTCTGCCAAATTTGTCACTGGTAGAAGTGGGTTTCAGCAGTGATGGTTATGGGGAGGCAGAAGGACTAGCAGGGGGCATTAGAGTGAGAGAGCAAGAGTAGGCACAGAGTAGGGAGGGATGGTTTGGTAGCATTACAAACAGTGACCTGACTTCAGATCTAACTGCCTGATTTTGGCCTGCAGTTCTTCTAAGTTCGCCCACCCTTGTTCTAAGAGAATCAAAGATCTATAGCAGTTAACAGAAACTTTTTAAGATGAGTTTAGTGTATCCTTAACTGATACACTGCCAGCAGCCTCAGTGGTATCACAATGTAGCACAGAAAAGGAGTTTGACTACACAATAAGATACGATGGGAGAAAGTAATTAAAGTAATTTTAAAAAGCTATTGGTGGCATGGAAGTTCAGAGGATGAGAGAATGCAAGATAATATAGGAGAGAAGAACAGAAGGAAAGAGAAAACTAGGAGATAAAATTAAGAGAAGGTGAAAAGATAAAAACAGAATGGATTAAGGAGACAGAAAAAATAAAAAAGTAAAATTGCCAGGGAATGGGCAGGTGAAGATCTTTGCACAAAAGCAGTCTCTACTCTGGAAAAGGGAGTGGAAGAACAATTCTTCATTCTCAAGGCATCCATCCTGGGACCTAACTCCCATTGATGTTCTTATAGCAATCTATAATTCATACAATTCACAGGAGTATGCCTGTAATAGATCAATCATTTATTAACCCCCCACATGCTATAAATGATCCTTTAATAAAAACCAGTGCTAGGATCATTTAAAAAGGTTTTCTTAAAATAAAACTCAGCTAGACAACAACCGATTTTGACAACAGAATCCTTAAATCTGACAGTTTGTTCAGAGCGCTTACACCTTTTACAAGTTCATATTTTTGGCTGATTCTTTTCATGTTCAGCTTATTTTGTTCTTAATTTCTATCCTTTGCTATACAATATATTTTGGGTTGTAAAGCATGTATTACTTACCGAAGATGAACTAATTATTCTTATTTGTTCAAGAGCTTCTGATAGACTTCCTTCTATCTCAGCATCATCCAAGGAAAACAGGTCCCCTGCACGTGAAAGATCCTTTTGTCCCAAAACCAGCCCAAAAAGATGATGCATGGCTGCCAATTAGCCAAAACTCTGGCTGTACCATATAGGCCAGCCAAACAGGCAAGTGGAGCAACAATCCATAAACTAGTCAGCCATCAGTTTTACAAGTACAGAAAATCCTTTCCATATTTTGAGCCCTCTTCTGCCATGATCTAGAAAGAAATATGTAAATATTAGCAATAACGTGCAAGTGTCACCCTGTGATTTAGGAAATATATTTAAATGTGCCTGCAAAAATTACATAGGTAACAGGGCTGTGCAAAACAGCAGTGTTCTGCTTCAACATCCATTTCAATGGAACAGAGTTTCATTTTGAGTTTTGTTTCATTTCAAAAGCACTGTTCCATTTCATTTAGTTGAAATGGTTTTGCTGTTTCGATGCTGTTTTGATGTTTCATCCATAGACTATTCTGCACCCAGTGCTGGGAAGATCAGTACTGCCGCTGGCTCCAGCCAGTAGCCCCAGCCTACTGTCATCCAGTAGGCAGATCGGGGCTGCCCTGAGTCCCTGGGAGGAGGCCAACACAGCCCCGAAGCCCTCCCGGGGGTGCAGGCAAACCCCAAATCTGCCTGCCAGATGATAGGAGGCTGGTGCTGCCAGCTAGGGCCAGTGGCAGCACCCATCTTCCTGGCACAGGCTGCACCCAGCGCCGGTCCCAGACAGCAGCACCAGCCTCCTATTATCTGGCAAGCAGATCGTGGGCTCGCCCGCACCTCCAGGAGGGCTGTGGGGCTGTGCTGGACTCCTCCCAGGGGTGTGGGCCCCTGATCTGCCTGCCGGATGACAGGAGGCTGGTGCTGCCGCCTGGGAGTGGTGCTGGGCATAGCCTGCACCCAGCACCAGGAAGATCAGTGCTGCCGCTGGCCCCAGCTGGCAGCACCAGCCTCCTGTCATCTGGCAGGCAGATTGGGGGCCCACACCCCTGGAGCAGTCTGACACAGCCCCTGCAGCCCTCCCAGGGGTGTGGGCAATCCCCAGATTTGCCTGCCAGATGACAGGAGGCTGGTGCTGCCGGCTGGGACCAGTGCTGAAGCCAAGTAAGCTTGGCTTCAAAACTTGAAACTTTTTGAAGCTTTCAAAATGTTTCGAGTGCCCTTGTTTTGTTTCAAAGCTGTTTTGAAGGCTTTTATTTCATTTTGATTCTGCTGTTTTGAGCTTGAAACAGATCAAAACAGCTTCAAAATGAAACACCGGGCAAAATTTCCACAGCCCTAATAGGTAATATATCCTAATATTAACCAGGTATATAAACAAGAAAATGAAACAGCCACTAAGTTATTTTACATTACTGAATTAGAGCCTTCACAGATAATTATAATGATAGAGCATTTTTCCATTCCACAGATTCATAGATTCATAGATGTAGGGTTGGAACGGACCTTGCAGCTGTTCTAGTCCAACCCCCTGCCCTGGGCAGGAGAGAAAACTGGGCTCAAATGACCCCAGCTAAGTAATCATCAAGCCTCCTCTTAAAGACCCGCAAGGTAGGAGACAGTACTACTTCCCTTGGAAGTTGGTTCCAGATCCTAGCCGCCCTGACTGTGAAGTAGTGCCTTCTAATGTCTAATCTAAACCTACTCTCTAACAACATATGGCCGTTATTCCTTGTTACTCCGGGAGGTGCTCGGGGGAACAAGGTCTCTCCCATTCCCCGTTGTTCCCCCCTAGTAAGTTTATAGACGACCACCAGGTCCCCTCTCAGCCTTCTCTTGTGAAGGCCTAACAGATTAAGGCCCCGTAGCCTCTCCTCATACGATCTGCCCTGCTGCCCCCGATCATGCAAGTGGCCCTCCTTTGGACCCTCTCAATGTTGTCCACATCCTTCCTGAAGTGCGGCGCCCAGAACTGGATGCAGTACTCCAACTGCGGCGTGACCAGTGTTGCATAGACGGGGAGAATCACCTCCTTGGCCCTGCTTGTGATGCATCTGTCGATGCATGACAAGGTGTAGTTAGCCCTAATGACCATGCCCTCGCTTTGGCGGCCCGTGTTCATCTTGGAATCGATAATGACTCCAAGATCTCTTTCTTCCACTGTGCTTTCAAGAAGAGGGTTCCCCAGCCTATAGGTATGCTGCTGGTTCTTACTGCCCAAGTGCAGCATCCTGCACTTGTCAGTATTGAATCCCATTCTATTCTGATTTGCCTACCCCTGTAACCTGTCCAGGTCCAGCTGTATCCTGTCCCGCCCTTCTAGTGTGCCCACCTCACCCCAAATCCTGGTGTCACCCATGAATTTAAACAGGGTGCTTTTCACCCCCTCATCCGAGTTGCTAATAAAGAAATTGAACAGTGCGGGCCCAAGGACCAAGCCCTGGGGAACTAAATTGCTCATATCCCTCCAGGTTGAATATGACCTGTCCACCACCACTCTCTGAGTGCAGCCCCTCAGCCAATTTGCTATCCATCTGACTGTGTAGGCATCAATGCCACAGTCACCTAGCTTTTTAATGAGAATGGGGTGGGAGACAGTGTCAAAGGCCTTCCTGAACTCCAGAAAGACTACATCCACCGTGACACCTGCATCCAATGATTTTGTGACTTGATCGTAGAAGGCAATCAGGTGGTCTGACAGGACCTGCCCCTAATGAAACCATGCTGGTTGCTCCTGAGCATCATTCTTGCTGCTGGCCCTTCACCGATGTGCTCCTTGATAATCTTCTCAAAGAGCTTCCCCAGGATCGAAGTAAGACTAATGGGCCTATAGTTGCCCAAGTCCTCCCTCCTCCCTTTTTTGAAGATGAGGACCACATTGGTCCTCTTCCAGTCATCTGGCACCTGGCCAGAGCACCACGAGTGCTTGTAAAGCCATGCCAGGAGCCCTGTGATAACCCCTGCCAATTCCCTCAACACTCTGGGGTGGAGAGCATCTTGACCTGCTGATTTGAACATGTCCAGCCCCCCCAGAAGTTCTCTAACTCGGTCCTCCCTGACCCTAGGCCTGGTGGAGTCTCTCCTGAGTCTGTCCCGAATCTCGGTGGGGGAATCCTGGTCCTTGCACAAAAAAATGGAGGCAAAGAAATTGTTAAAAAGGTCTGCTTTTTCCTCTGGTTCCTTTTTCCTTTCCATCATACTGAGGTTTTCATATCATCCTTAACACTATGGTGTCTGAATGCCCAGTAGCATACTTAAGGGTGGGTGTCACAAGGCACCTACGTGACCTTGTGCCTAGAAAGGGTAAAGAACAGCTGCT